AGGAGTGGAATGGAAACGACTTACCAGAACCTCCAAAAAACAGCATGTCAATCTGTTCCAAAAGATAAATGCAGAAAGTGTTGATCTGCGGAAAGAGCCCGAGCAGGGAAATGGCAGGAAAGCAGTACAAAAACCCTGAAATGGGCAAACGGAGGGGTGGTGAGTGTGCGGACTGTCGCCAGGCTTCTCGCTGCAGATCTGCCTCCCTCCCCCTCCAGAGTCCCCAGCCAGGAACACCTGGAGGCAACCCCAGACCCCCCTCCCAGGGGAAGCTCTGGAGCTCTCCCGGGGAAACCAAATGCGGGTGGGCCAGATGGGCCAAAGACCACAGGGCTGCTCTTCAGCGTGGAAGAGCAGATCTGGAGTTGGGGCAGACGAGGGCGGGACAAAGAGGACTCGGGAGCTACAGGAACATGCAGAACAAAGGACAGTAGCCGGGGTTCCCTCCCTGCGTGGGATAGACGAGTGAGAACTGGGGGCGAGGGGCTCCTTGCTTTGTGCTTCTGTGACTGCAAGCACTTGAGTGACTCAGTGTCCTACTTTCCAAACACCCACTGGAACCTGGAGCTGAGTCGGAGCTCAATACGCCCACAGGGGAGTCAGTCTGGGAGCGAGCGTGGTGCTTAACTGAGGAGGGGCAGCCCTCCGGGATGAGGGACGCTGCTTCCAAGGTGCATGGGGTCACCTGGCAGGTGCAGGTGGCCCTGCTGAGGAGAGGAGTGGAAACACCCCCCAGCATCCCGGCCATGCACCTGTTCAAACTGGTGAAACGCGTATGAGTTATAACTCAGTGTTTCACAGAGGTGACCTGTCCTCTCTTGCTTAACTCTCCTCCAGTTGGGTTTCATAGAAATGCAGAATCTCCCGCTAGCAGAACTGTAACACATCCGTCTTCCTTTCTGACCCAAGTTATTGGGAGGAATGTCGGTGAAGGTTGATATGGGTAAACCTTAATTAAACTGAGGAAATTTGATTTGAAATCCAATATGTCTAGACATTGGAACTTTGCCCTAAAACCGTACGTAAACCAGCGCACACTGGGAGTCGGGATGGTGAGAGAGAGCGATTCAGCTCTTTCTGAGAAATGGGAAATGTGGTGCAATTGTAGGGATGAGAGTATTTGGATGCCCCATTCTCTTTTTAACAGTTGGTTAAAAGTCAGTATGGGACAAATCCCTCTGCAACAAGCACTAAGGGACGGTTCCAACTCTTTGTGAAAGTAAAAGTTTACATAACAAACATGGCTGTGAAGATAGGGCCCTTGCTGGGGTTGGAGCTGTGTTTTGATACACGGGTTGATTTTGTTGTCATGGTTTTTGCAGCAGGATTTTAACCCTATTGTAAAAACCCAGAGACCTGAAAGTAGTTCATTCCTCCAAGTAGATCATGAGAAACAAATACTTATCTGCTAGACATGACCATGTAGGACACAGTTCCTTTCTCAGTTTTTATAAATGGAATTCAGGGATATGAAAGGAAAGATACAAGAAATACACAGAAATGTAATTATAGAACATATAGTCGTAAACGTCAAAATTTTAATCCATATAATTTCAAGCAAACCGAGTAGGTCCTCTTCTCTTAATTTGGGGGCTCAAAACCCAGCAATGAAGATTGTGTGCTCTGCTGTGTCCTGCAGTCCCAGGATGTGGGAGGGACGACACAGTGGGATTCTGTTATCTC